GTTCAAACCCACCAGCCACTCCTTGGAAGGAAGGTTGGGCATTCCTACTTCTGTAGTGATACTGCCTCGGAAACCCAAGGAGGGGTCGCTATGAGTCGGGGCCGACTCGATGGCAAAATAACAACAACAACAACCAGAGATCTAACTATTATGGTAATGTTATATAATAAAATGTTATATATAGCTGTATGTTATATTTTAATTTATGGAGTAAATTCTCTATTTTACTTCAGCTTGAATGGGTTTTTGATCTCTTGCAACCAACACATTCCTCAATTATCTTGCCCCTAGAAGAATATCTCTTCACACAACCAGCTACAACCCAAAGTAATAGGTGCACTATAAAAATAGTTTGGCACCATCGTCAGACCTCCTCTCACTTCACAACAGGGAGAAACATCACTATCAGATCAACAGCCCAAAGGTGATTCCCACAGGGCAGAGGTCAGACATACCTCCTTTCTTCAACTTTTTTTTTTTTAAACCAATTCTGACATTATGGTAGTTAAGGTTGTGTGTCAGCTTGGCTGGGCCATGATTTTGAGTGGCCTGGCAGCTGGATGTAGTTATTCCCCATGGTGACACTGGATGGTGGAATCTGCTGTGAGCAGTTAATTAATTGAAGGGGAGTTGCCTTCAGGTTTTGGCCTGCTTCCAGTATGTGTGGAAAGGATCCTGCATTTGATTCACAAGTCTTTATCTCCAGTTCCTGGACTTGAACCAGTGGCCTGCCGTGTTGCCTGCCAACTTTGGGACTGTTTCATTTTACTTGCTACTCCTGGATTCCTTAGCCTCAGCAGCCAGTAGCTGTATGAATCCGAAGTCTCCAGCTTGCTCCAGTGGGCCTGGAAGGCAAAGCTAAAGCCCAAGCTTGAGGGGTCTCCATCTAGTCCCTAGAGCTGGCACTCTGAACTTGGACTTCTAGCCTCCCAAACTGTAAGAGAATAAATTTCTATTTGTTGAAGCCATCATCTTCTTCTTGGTGGTCATGAGGTTCCTCACTCTGCTCTGGGATTAATGTTCTTCTAAGGCTAGCAGGATGACAAAACTGACCAATCCCCTTGTTAGAGTTCCACACACCTTATTTGCATGGTCACAGCCCCAGAAGGGTATACCATGTACCTTATTTGCAAGCTATCCAATCCCCATGGTGGGCCACAAGCACCTCATTTGCATATTCCCACCCAATCTTTTGGTGACAGTTACAAGATCATGGCTAATAAGGCCGTATAAAAGTGTATTGCTGCATTGCATATGCAAAGAGAGTCATGATGACAGGGTTCATAGCTCAGAGAAGCTATTGATTCTACTGAGGGGCTCAAGGAATGTTTCCTATGTAAGCTGGGCCTTGAAGTACAGAAGAACCTGTGAGTTTGGAAAGGGCATTCCCCACGAAGGGACTAACCCAAGCAAGGGCAAGGAAGTATGTTGTGCATCCTGTCCGTGTTCAAGAGAGTGCTGTAATGGACAGCCACTACAGATGGTTGAGTTCTTGGTGGGGAGGGATAAGAAAGGTTAGGTTGAGATTCCACATTCGAAGGCATTTACACTTCAATCTATGAGGAAATTATGGGGGTTGAGGCGTAACAAGAGTTTTATCCTAAAAACATTGTTGAGACAGTGGAACATAGACTGGAGTGGGAAGGGAACAGACTTGGGAACTATACTGCCGGGCCTTTGTTTATGCTGTGTTCTCTTTCCAATATGCCCTTCTACCAAACTCCTCACAGGGATGAGGCATTTTATTCAACTTACATCAACCTTGCTCAGTATAAAAGCAAAAACCCAAACCCACTGCCAGAGTCGATTCTGCTTCTTGACGAGCCTTTAGGACAGACTGAAACTGCCCCAAAGGGTTTCCAAGGCTATAAATCTTTATGGAAGCAGACTGCCTCATCTTTCTCCTATGGAGTGCCTGGTAGATTTGAACCACTGACTGTTTGGTTAGCAGCTTTATGGTTTAACCAGTACACCACCAGAGCTCCTTTGTTCAGTATAAAACCAAAAAACAAACTCACTGCCATCGAGTCGAATCCGACTCACAGTGACCTCCTTGGGTTTTCAAGGCAGTATCTCTATGGAAGTAGATTGCCCAATCT